CAACAAACTACAATAGGCTTGCCCTTGCTTACTACGCTCTATCTTGCAAATACCCGGAATAGGATCACTGTAGGACTTTATCAGCTTGTAACATAGGCTTAGGCTAGGGAATGGATAATTGGGTTCGTGAGTGACTAGTTCCTTGGTTTTCCAAAGTTTCGTTTCCACACAACTCTTTTCTGAGTGATTCCTTTTTTTCTTCATTTCAGCACATCCCAGCACCCATTATTTTCTTTTTCTTTTTTTTTCTTCACACTTCCTTTTTTTTATATGCACTCAGCTCACTGGTTGACCCTTCTTTTGCACTTCTTTTTTCTGCTCAGATTGAAGTCACCCTCAACTTAGGCTTTTGGCCTGAGTTGTGACATCGTATCTTTGGAAACCAACTGGGTAAGAACAAAAGATGACTTTTAGGCTCAAATCAGGTTCAATTGGTAAGATTTTTATTTGGTAGTTCTATTTTTGGCTTTTTATTGGCTTACAAAATTGGCCTATTAATCCTATCCTATCCGGTTATGCTCAGACTTAAGCAAGACTACTTGGGCAAGTTCTAGTTTCTGATCCTAGTGTTAGACTTCAAACAACATTCTCACACACATGACACATGACTACATTATCCAGTTTCTTGGTTCACCAATTTATTGATCAGACTAACAATGCTCAACATGTAAGTGTCTAAGATGTCATCTAAAGATCATAACAGTTAAAGTTCAGATTCAGGTCGTCATTTCTAACAGACTAGCTGTTGCACAACTCAACACACAAAATCAAACACAAAACCAATTTTTTTTAGTAAACACAGAGTCAACCTCTATTCAGCTTAGAATGGCAGGTTGCTCACCACCCCCTCCTAAAAAAAAAGGACTTTGCCCTCAAAGTCAATAGAGAAAGTAAAACATGGTTGTGAGGAGGGGTCATACCTACGGCGCTCTAGGCGCCGGTCCTCGTCTCAGCATCAGCACCCTTATCAACGGGTGCACTCTCAGAACTCAGCACATGCTCAGGTTGGCCACCATGTGCTCCACTACCAGAAGCTCTAGCTAACACTGCATCTCGTTGTTGTTGCTCACAGGCTTCTTTTTCTCTCGCTGCCTTCTTTGATGCCTTGCGGGCTTTCTTTACTTGCCTTCTTTCCTCTTTGAACAGGTCAGCAGGTATCTCCTCATCAGATTCTCCAGCTCTGTGTTTCCTCTTGTCGAACTTACTCATGGGTAGTTCTCCCAGAGATCATCAATTGATTGAGTGGAGGTTGCCTGAGTTAGCATTTCCATTAAAAAAATCTAGCATTATCACAGTGGGTACTTGTACTGGCTTTTCAGTTAGTTTAGCAACTTTAGTTCTCATCTTGGCCAACTGTGATTTGAACTCTTCAGTATCTACTGAACCGGCGGCATGGCATCGATCTTGGACAAGGTTCTCCAAACCATCCATTTTGCCTTTTAAGACAACCAGCTCCTTCCGCATCTCATCTTTGATCTCTTTTTTTCGCAGCTAACACCTTTGTATCTATTAGTTGAGGCATCCAGATTACAAAGTGGTCTACCAATGTCTTGGTTTCGCGCTGATCTGCAACCAATTTCTCAAGAAAAATCATAGGAATGGTGACATAGGTACCTGGAACCTGGGAGGCAGAAGTTGGTGGTGGTGGTGCCTCTGTGGAAGGCTGTGATGACTCTCCCTGCTCTGGGCCTCTGTCTGCCTGTGGAATATCAAGTGGGATGATGAGGAACAACAGCTAAAGTACACACAACCATAGACTTTGGGCCAAAGAGATTGTTGGCGACATCCTTGATTTTAGAAACCTAGATAAGTCTGGCTGCTTCACCCCATCTGTCAACCAGCCTGTTCGGAGGAATGTTCACTTGTCTACATAATTTCCCTATTAGACAGGGAAATGGAAGTCCGGCTCTCTCATTTAATGCCATCTCTCTCATCTCGGTCTCTATAATTCACCCCACATTTACCGGGTAACCAACCTAAGACACGCTACCAACGAAGCCAGGGAAGGGGACAAAGTATTATCATTAGATATCGGTCGCAATTGTTCTTGGACGATAGCCCACTAAACCTTAGCTGGAAAAGATAGTGAAGCTTTAGTAATGAGTGTTGGAGTTGTTGTGACCCAACCTGCATTCTCCCCATCTACATCAATTTTCTTTGCAATCCATCGCAAAACCCTCTCTCTAGAATTCTGATCCTCCATCGTAGTATCACTGGTGACCTCATGATGTATGCCTTCAAAAAGGCCAACTAAGCTGGTGCAGTGTATTATGGGCCATGCAACATCCTGTTAATATTGGCCTCAAATATGTCTATCGGTTTACCCCGAACTATGATTGAGTTGAGTGACCCCAGGTAATGGCAATGTCTCTCTGTCCACATTTCGTAGTCTCTATTTCAGCAACAAAGTTCATCAGTGTAGCTGCATAAGATAAATAAAACTCTCTGGCCAGGTGGCTGGTGTATTCTCCAGGTGCATTGTCCATCCAGTCGAACTGATGGAACTGAAATGTCCGATAAATATCGGGGAATGCCTTGATATCAGCTACCACCACTCTACTCTTAGGCATGATTGTGTGCCTCTTGAAACTGCCATTCTTGGTCACAATACCCTTGTCGAAGAATTCTTTGGACCGGTTCACAGTCCACATGGAGTGGTAACAGGCAATCAGTTGCGGTCTCGCTGGAGGATCAGGTTCATGGATGTTCACATACATCACCATGGTATCATCATCGGTGATTTCTACATCCTCATCTATAGTAGTTGCCTCCTCTAGTACTCTAGTTTCAGCTTCTGTATTTGCCGCATGTGGAGAGGTGTTTGCATCTTTGTCACGACCCGGGAGCACCCCCTAGTCGTAACCGGCGTACTCGACCTCGAAGAGGTCTAATACAAGCCTCTTAGCATTCATTCATCGCATAGACACTAAAAACATAATGAATTTAAAACTTTCTTTACCAAGAAAACATTTAATAAAAAATAGCAAGCGGAAGACTTTCTAGACTTTATACATGATGTCTCAAACCATCTAATACTTTAGAGTACAAAATTCGGGACTAATCCCGTACACAACTTAAACAATACTAAAAGTGTAACGACCCTAAAAACGAACTAGTGAAATTAGAGCCTCACATGTGAGTTT